GCACAGCAGGTCTCAGGAAGACCTCTGGGAGAGAGAAAAAACTAGCTGGTTTGCGGTTATTATGCACTGGATGTGGCAATGGCAATATTTTTATTTTTTTCTTTCGTCCTCGGCAAATTTCGTAGAAAAAATTCCACTCTGTCATAAATCATAAAATTTCGAAGACAGCTACTTCCTCATCTCCTTTGGCATGCAACAGTTACCATGACGCGCCATTTAACCCGAAACCCATTAAATTAAGATTTGTGTGCGTGATAGTGTGTGTGAGACTCACGCACACACACACACACTCACACAGGATACCAACTGTGACTCGGAAATATTTAGTCATCAGTCGCCATCAAATTGTCAGGCACTTGTCAACATAAATCTCTGCCATCAGCCCGTTCGGCTATGGTTTCCTAACCTTAGCGAAGGTTAAAAATGTTCATCAATAGGCGACAGAGAGAAAGACAGACAGAAAATGTAAAGGACGCAGAAGGATCTCGGTGATGCGTGGCTGTCTGTCTGTCCCTCTGTTTTTCGTTCATAATGTCATTATTGCTATCAACGACAAAAGATGAAGATGACGAAGTAGAAGATGGACGGACGAATGAACTATCATCAGATTTTGATAAATGAAGTGTAAACGACAAACAATGTCCTTGTTGTTTGAGAGGACCTGTTTTTGTTTCGGTGCTCTGTTTCTGTTTCTTTCATTGTTATATTTTGTCATCGTCTCATCGCGGCTATTGTTTCCGAAAAATGATTGCAAAAATAATGTCAAATGTCACAGAGAGGATAAGAGCGAGGGACGGACAGGATAACAGCGGTTGCAAAAATTCACAAAGGTCCTTTGAGAGCATGCTCCGCAAAATCCCGCTGCTCTGATAATTTTTTTTTTTTGCAACACTAAACGATTTTAATGCAACTGACATCCCAAGGATGTATTCAAGGACGAAAGTTTATCAAAGATTTCCTTGGCAGGGGACATGCCGAATCAACTTGTTATGGTAAATAAATATTTGAGGATATTTTCAGAATTGTCAATTGTTTTGTCAAATGTCGCCTTATGGGTTTTCGGGCAATAATTGCAATTTTAAGGCTTTTGGGACACAGTACCCCATATTAAATTGGGAAGACAAAAACAAAGGCGCCAGATTCCTTCAAGGACATGGGCATGATATGCAAATTAGCACCTTTAATTAAACATGAAGGAGACAAATGTCCGCAGACACTACCTTGAAGGACAAGTGAAAACATGCTGAGGATTTTTCCAAAAACAATTAAGTCCTTGAAAAGGATTTAAAAAAATTATTGATTTTTGTCTGGAGGATTTTTGGTAAATCCAGTTTTGAGTGGGATGAGTTTATTTAACCATCTTCTTGTGGGGCTAAGAAATGAAGAGGACCCATTAGGCTACATTTTTACCACAATAAGTTTTTCCCTACCTCCTCCCCTTCGTGGTGAAAATTTTCCCACAAATTAAAATAACATCTTTATATGAAAAATTAGGTTTTGTGCGGGATGGGTTTATTCAACCAGATTATTGTGGGAGTGGAAAATTAAGATGATCCTTTAGGCTATAACTCTTCTAAAATGAATTGTCCCCTACCCCCTCCCCTTCGTGTTGAAATTTCCCCCACAAAAGTATACCCCTTCTTTATAACAAAGGAGGCTCAGTAGAATTCAATTTTGAGTGGGATGGGCTTATTTTACATGTTCGATGTGGGAGTAGGAAATGAAGAAGACCATCGAAGCTACATTTCCTCCACAAAAATTAACCACCCAACTTCACTCCTTTGTGGTAAAACATTATTATGTTTTATTTAAATAACATTTTCTTCTCTTTTGTCACAAATGAGACTCTGTAATATTTAATTTTGAGAAGGATCTGCTAATTTTACAAGGTATCCATGAACTGAAGAAGTGAAGTGGGTCCTTCAAGCTACATTTCTTTCACCAGAAGTTATTCCCTAACTCCACTTCTTCGTGGTCAAAATTCTTGAGCAATTCTTATTTTAATAAAAATTACTTTTTGCTTTCTTTGTCACAAAGGAGGTTCAGAAAAATTCAATATTGAGAGGGAAGGACTTATTTTACATATTTTCAGTGGGGATATGAAAAGGGTTCAAGCGGGACATTGCTATAATCCCATTTTGACTCAGAAATCTTCATTTTACACGATTCATGTGGTCTTAAAAATGCAGAAAACCCTTCTAGCTACATTTCTTGTTGTAGTAGGAAATGTAGGTAATCCCTGGCGCTACATTTACTTCAACATAAGTTCGGACATACCTCTTTTGATTCATGCCGTAAAATGCTCCCAAATGATTAATCAAAATGCGTTTTTATGTATTTTTTTCAGAAAAGGTCTTTTAGTAAATTGCAGTTATGTCATATAAGTTATAGTTTTACGTGATTATTCCTGGAACAGAAAATATGGAAAACCCCTTGGGCTACATTTTCTCCAAAATAAGATTGGACCTATCTCCTTTCCCTCGTGATGAAAAATGCTCCCATGTTATTATTTAATAAATATGCGTTTCTTTGTATTTTTCCGCAAAATGCTTTTCCTTTATGGTGAAAAATGCTCCCAAACTATTACTTAATAAAAATACGTTTTCTTGAATTTTTCGCAAATGCTCCCTCAGGAAAATTCACTTTTCTTTTAGAAGTTGGAGTTTTACCCGATTGTTACTGGGGTAGACAATGTAGGGGACCCCTTGGGCTACATTTCCTCTAACACAAGTTAGAACCTCCCGCTTTTTCTTTATGGTAAAAAATACATTGCAAATTTATTTAGAAATAATATTTTTATTTTTGAGTTTGAATGGAAGGAATCTGGTTAGAATCCGATTTTCACTTAGAAATCTTGATTTTATATGCTTGAAGTTGTGGTAGAAAATGTGGAGGACCCCTTGGGCTATATTTCCTCCAACATAAGTTTGCCACTCCCAGCACTCAATGTCGGAGAAAATTACTTCGAAATGTATTAAAAAATATTTAGTTTCTTATTCTCTTGGGCCTGAATTTTTGTTAAGAAGGCATCTGGCTAAAATCTGTTTTTGACTTCGAAATATTTATTTTACTGATTTCTCGTTTGAATAGAATATGTAGAGGATCCATAGGGCTACATTTCCTCCAACACAAGTTAGCCCTTCCCGCTCTTCCTCCATGGAGAAAAATTCGGTTTAAAATATGGTTTCTTGCATTTTTCCGCAAATGGTACTTCAGTAATATGTAATTTTCTTTTAGAATTTGTAGTTTTACCCGATTGTTACTAGAATAGAAAATGTAGAGGACCCCTTGAGCTACATTTTCCGCAATATAATTTCGGACCTCCCGCCCCTCTTTCGAGATGAAAAATAGCTTGAAAATTTATTTTTAACAATATATTTGTATTTTTGAGTTTTAACGGGAAGGAACCTTGTTAAAATTCAATTTTGTCGTAGAAATCTCCAATTTACCAGTTTCATGTTATTGTAGAAAATGTAGAGGACCCTTTCGGCTACATTTCCTCAAACGTAAGTTTGCTCCTCCCGCCACTCCTTTGCGGGGAAAACAGCTTCGACATCCATTATATAATAAAAAGTGGTTTATTCTCTTAGGGCGGAATTTTGTGAAGATAGATCTTCATGTAAATCCAGTTTTGACTTCGAAATCTTCATTTTACCGATTTCATGTTGGAGTAGTAAATTTAGAGGATCCCTTGGGCTACATTTCTTCCAATATAAGCTAGCCCCACTCGCCACTCCTTTGTGGTGAAAATTGCATCGACTTCCATTAAAAACAAAAAACTTGTTTATTATCTTAAGGCGGAATTTTGTCAAGATATGAGTTCGTGTAAATCCAGTTTTGGCTTCAAAATCTTTATTTTATAGGTTCCATGTTGGAGTAGAAAATTTAGAGGACCCTTTGGGCTACATTTCTTTCAACATAAGTTAGCACCTCCCGCTCTTCCTTCAGGGTGTAATTACCACTTCAATTAAATATGAAATATGTGTGTATTTCGAAAATTTTCCCATTATGGCTGGGGAAATATTTATTTTTTAAAATTTTTTCCACGAACTTGCGTGAATTGTCACCTTGTTTTCTACGTGACTAACCCAATTTACAACACGTGCTATCCACGAAAAAATAGTGTTTTTCTCATGAAAAATTTTTGACACCAGTTATAATTTGTTGGAACAACATCGACAAACATATGGCTCTTGGCCAACCCATGGGCCCTATTGGGCCGACATAAAAACCCATCAGCGATTTTAGCAACAAAATTATTTTTGTTTTTCCTTCAATTGCTATGCTAATGTATGGAAATTCCAAAATTTTCACACTTCGAACGGCTGCTGGTGGTGTTGCTAGGCGAACATTTGCTTTGAATAGCAAATTTCCCCTTCGGGATCATAAAGCGACTAATAACGAAATACTAATGCCATTTGACAGGTCCTTGGGATTAAACATTTGTTCTATGACAGGATTTCAATCATGGCACAACAATACTCGATGATAGTTTGAACAGAGAGGGAAGCAGAAGCAACAACAAAAAATGCTAATGAAGACCGGCATGTGGACTTATTCGCGCAATTCGAACACCAGGCTAGGTTGTAGAAGGATTTTCCCAACAACAAAAAGGCAACAGGAGAACGGAAAAGGACCTTTGCACAATTCCTTAGAACTCAAAAGGATTTAGTCAAAGACCTTGAGAGCAGGACACCATCATAAAATCATGTTAATCCCTGTGCTAGACAGGGATAGGTAGACAGGTAGCAGTGGTAAAGGCCAGTCAGCCAGCCAGCCTTAGTCCTGCCAACAACAAAGCCATGATTAAGGATTAAGTCACAGAGACTAAGCTACCTGTTTTTAGGTGAACTAGGTTAAGGGCCGGCAGTTGCCCATCTATATAAGGCAAAACACTTGTAGTCCAAGGTATCAGTTGCCCATCAGCACAACGTCACAGAACAACTTCTTGCTCAGTAGAAAAATTCAAACCAAAGAAAAAATCACTCTGCAAAATGGCCGATAATTCGTATACCAAATTCACCATGTTGCCAGAACCATCCAAGTTCAAAATCAACACCCAATTCTTCTCGCCACACGATCTAAATCTCTTTGTGGAAAGTTTGGAGACCATACGCCGTCTGACAATCGAGAAGCAGGAGCGGAAACAACAACGCAAGGCTGCCCAGTTGGCCAAGGCCGCCAGGACTTTCAATACCCTAACACGTATCCATTCGGAATCCTGTCTCGATCGCTCCTCGGCCGATGAAATTGAAGAGGAGCCAGCCATTATGCATTTGGAAAATAAAAAGGTACCCTCCACACCGGATTCACAGCGTTCGCAATACGATGAATCCTATTTCTCCGCCCCGAACAGTGCCCAATCCTCACCACGCAACAGTGTCATCTATAATCAACAACTCAACAAAGATTCCGATGGCTCATTGCTCTCAATTACCATTTCCACAGATTCCGAAGAGTCTGGAGTCTTCCCAATCGGTGCCTCTTCCCAAGATCTCTATGATGCCGCGGCACAAAATTCTCCCATACGACCCCGTTCGAAATTAGTCAACAAAAAGAGATCCCTTTCAACCCGATCCCGTCTCATTGGATTGGTGTTGAAAAAGGAAACTGCACCGAAGACCCCAGTCGTCCAACTGCTCTCCTGTCGTCCTCTAGATGAATACGAAACGCTAGAGATGTACGAACAGGAACAGCAACAACAACAGCTTAATAATGTTTTGCAAGCCGAAACCGAAAAGTTGTCGCGATTCTCCACTCTCCACATGCGGAAAAAGTCTAGGCAGGGTTTTGCCTGTGCCGATGGTTCGTCCGAAGAACGATTCCTCGACAAAGCCCTGCGCTATTTGACTTTGTGAGAGAAGGAAGTATGACTAGGACGAGCACAAGCACTATCAAGGTGCCTTTAGAGAGAATATGATTCTGTAGTAAAAAAAAATTCAAAGTTAGTCGATTAAGTTAAGATGTAAATATAGTTATAAGTTCCGATTTTTTATATATATAAGAAAAAATGTATAACATTTTTTTCTATAACATATAAAATTTATAAAATAAAATATATATTTTTTTAATAAAAAATACAACTCTTTTTAATAAAATAAAATTTTTAGTCAAAGCACTTTATGATACGCGGTTAATATTAAAGTGAAGTTTAAAGAGGACCCTCTGGGCCACATTTTCTCCAACAAAAGTTAGACCCTATCTCCGCTCCTTCCGCCTCAAACCCCTCCTCCAAAAGTTCACCTTTGCGAAATATATATTTTAATATGATTTTTTGGTATTATTAAGAAAATAAAAATTTTAACCAAAAATACTCCATTTTATAGATTTGCCATGTGAGTAGAAAATTTAGAGGACCCTTTGGGCCACATTTTCCCCAACAACAGTTAGACACTAACTCCGCTCCTTCTGCCTTCAACTCCTCCTCAAAAATTACACATTTGCGAAATATCTATTTTAATGAGATTTTTTGGTATTTATCAAAAATTTAAATTTTTAATAAAAATACTTCATTTTAAAGATTTATCTTGTGAGTAGAAAATGTAGAGGACTCTATGGACTAAATTTCCCCCATTAACAGTTAAGCCCTAGCTTCGCCCCTTCTGCCTTAAACTCCTCCTCAAAAATTACACCTTTGCTAAATATTTATTTGTATGTGTTTTTTGGTGTTAAATAAAAAAATGCAAAATTAAATCAAAATAATTTCGTTTTATAGATTTGCCATGTGAGTAGAAAATTTAGAGGACCCTTTGGGCTACATTTCCTACATTAACAGTTAACCCTTAGCTCCGCCCCTTAAGCCCCAAATCCCTGCTCCAAAAGTACACCTTTGTGAAATATCTATTGAAATAAGATTTTTTTTCATTATTTAAAAAATTTAATTAAAAAACGTCATTGTATACATTTTCCATGTTGGTAGAACATTTAGAGGACCCTTTGGGCCACATTTTCTCCATTAACAGTTAACCCTTAGCTCCGCTCCTTCAGCCTCAATATCCCGCTTCAAGAATATACCTTTAAAAAATATATTTTTTCTTGAAATTATTTAAAAACTTGAGAATTATATCAAAATAATTTCATTTAAGGATTTACCTTTTGGGACGGAATTATAGAGGATCCTGTGGGCTACATTTCCTGCATTAACAGTTAACTCCTAGCTCCGACCCTTCAGCCCCAAACCCCTCCTCCAAAAGGTCATATTTGCAAAATATTTATTTAAATATGTTTTTTTGGTATTATTAAAAAAATAAAATGTTTAATCAAAAATACTTCATTTTAGATATATACCCTGTGAGTAGAAAATTTAGAGGACCCTTTGGGCTACACTTTCAACATTAACAGTTAACCCCTACCTCCAATCCTTCAGCCCCAAACCCCTCTTCCAAAAGTACACCCTTGCGAAATTTATATTTATTTATTTTTGTATTAATTTGTTCGTATTATTTAAAAAAATAAATTTTTCAACCAAAAAACGTTATTTAATAGATTTGCCATGTGGGTAGAAAATGTAGAGGACCCTTTGGGCTACATTTCCTCTATCAATAGTTAGCACCTATCTCCGCTCCTTCACCCTAAAACCCCTCTTCCAAAACTACATCCTTGCAAACCATTTGTTTTAATGTGCTTTTGGTATTATTTTAAAAAATCAGTTTTAAATTAAAAAATCGTAATTCTCGAGCATTACATTGTGAGTAGGAAATGAAGAGGACCCAGTGGGCTACATGTTCTACAACAACAGTCTGCTCCTAGTTCTGGCCCTTCAGCATCAAACACCTCCACCACAAATACACCTTTAAAATAATATTAGTTTTTTTTACAAAAAACATCGATTTCAAACCACATGTATAATTTTAAGATTTTTAATAGGTAATGGAAATAAATAATTTTAAGAATTTTGCTGATAAATGGGTAATTAAGAGGACCCTTTACACCTCAAAATGTCTACATTATCCTCTTTTTATATTTTTCAACATAAGAATTTGGCTATCCCCTCCCTCCTCTCCTTCAGCCAAAAATATCACTCTCAATTGTATGCCCTTGGAGAAATTGATATTTCCGTTTATTTCGTGTTTGAGCAAGGTTTGAGTTATAAGGCCGCATTTTAAACATTTTTTGTGTGAGTAGAAAATAAAGAGGACCCTCCAGGAACATTTCTTCCAAAAACTGTTGTACCCTACCTCCTCTCCTTCATCATGAAATCTCACCTTTAATAATATCAGGAAGTGTATTTAACAGTGCTCTGGCAATGTAAAGTTGCTAAATGTTCAAATTATGTTAACATTCTGTTATCTTAACAAAATGTCGCTGTTATTAACAGTTGTATGATTCTGTAATGTTAAAAATGGCAATAAATTTGACAGCTGCTTAACAGCTGTTAAGTAAAATTTTCGCTTATGCCTGCTAATTAGCCTGTGCCAATTTGTGCGAACAAACTTTATTTGGCTAATGGGAATCAAATGGGAACCAGATGCAGGTCAGAAGTGACAATTTAATGGCAAATATTTAGGGACCGAATTTGGTTGCTGCTAAAATTTTTCTTTTTGGTAAATTTAATAAAATTTTATAATTTTAAATTAAAAAAAAAATTTTTAAGGAAATTTTATAAAAAAATTACTTTTAATAAATTTAATAAAAAATTTCCCTTTTGGGAAATTTAATAAAAAATGTCCCTTTTAGGAAATTTAATAAAAAATTTCCCTTTTGAGAAATTTAATAAAAAATTTCCCTTTTGGAAAATTTAATAAAAATTTCCCTTTTGCGAAATTTAAAAAAAATTATCTTTTTGGGAAATTTAATAAAAATTTATCTTTTTGGGAAATTTAATAAAAATTTCTCTTTTTGGGAAATTTTATAAAAAATGTCCCTTTTGGGAAATTTAATAAATGTGCCACTTATAGGAAATGTTATTTTTTAAAAATTTCCCTTTTGGGAAATTTAATAAAAAAATTCCCAAAAAGTAAATTTTTAAAAAATTTCCCATTTAGAAAAAAATAATTTTTAAAAAATTTACGCCTTGAAAAAATAATTTTTAAAAAATTTACGCCTTGAAAAAATATTTTTTTTTTTTAAATCTACGCCTTGAAAAAATATTTTTTTTTTAAATCCACACCTTGAAAAAATATTTTTTTTTAAATCTACGCCTTGAAAAAATATTTTTTTAAAAATCTACGCCTTGAAAAAATATTTTTTTAAAAATCTACGCCTTGAAAAAATATTTTTTTAAAAATCTACGCCTTGAAAAAATATTTTTTAATCTACGCCTCGAAAAAATATTTTTTAAAAATCTACACCTTAAAAAAATAATTTTTAAAAAATCTATGCCTTAAAAAAATAATTTTTAAAAAATCTATGCCTTAAAAAAATATTTTTAAAAAATCTACGCCTTGGTATTTTTTGAAAAAATAATTTTTAAAAAAACTACGCCTTGGTATTTTTTGAAAAAATAATTTTTAAAAAATCTACGCCTTGGTATTTTTTGAAAAAATAATTTTTAAAAAATCTACGCCTTGAAAAAAATTCTTTAAAAAAATCTGCGCCTTGAAAAAAATAATTTTTAAAAAATCTGCGCCTTGAAAAAATAATTTTAAAAAATCTACGCCTTGAAAAAATAATTTTTAAAAATTCTACGCCTTGAAAAATAATTTTTAAAAAATCTACGCCTTGAAAAAAATAATTTTTTAAAAATCTCCGTCTTGAAAAAAATAATTTTTAAAAAATCTACGCCTTGAAAAAATAATTTTTAAAAAATCTACGACTGGAAAAAATAATTTTTAAAAAATCTACGCCTTGGAAAAAATAATTTTTAAAAAATCTACGCCTTGGTAAAAAAATATTTTTTAAAAAATCTACGCCTTGGTAAAAAAATAATTTTTAAAAAATCTACGCCTTGTTGAAGGAACCAAAAAATAATTTTTAAAAAATCTACGCCTTGTTGTAGGCTTCAGAAAAATAATTTTTAAAAAATCTACGCCTTGAAAAAAATAATTTTTAGAAAATCTACGCCTTGAAAAAAATAATTTTAAAAGTATCTGCGCCTTGAAAAAATAATTTTTAAAAAAGCTACGTCTTGAAAACATAATTTTTTAAAAAATCTACGCCTTCAAAAAATAATTTTTAAAAAATCTGCGCCTTGGTATTTCTTGAAAAAAAATGGCAGACCCTTAAAAATAATTTTTAAAAAATCTGCGCCTTACAATTTTTTTTAATCTACGCCTTGAAAAAAATAATTTTTAAAAAATCTGCGCCTTACAATTTTTTTTTAATCTACGCCTTGAAAAAAATAATTTTTAAAAAATCTGCGCCTTGAAAGAAATAATTTTTTAAAAATCTACGACTTGATAAAATAATTTTTAAAAATTCTGCGCCTCGGTATTTCTTGAAAAAATTATGACAGACCCTTAGAAAAATATTTAAAAAAATCCACTCCTTGTGGATAGTCGTTTTTAAAAATCCAGGCCTATAGATAGGCCTCAAATATATTTTTAATAATTTTCCTTATCATTAGTTTTTAATAAAAATTTAATATCGAAAATTTCCACGAATTATCCCATGGCCATAACATGGTAATTCGTCGGAATGAGGGGGATTTACCTTTGCCATTATTACGGGTACCTGTAGCCAAATTAATAAAAAATTCCCTAATAAAAGAGGACCAAAGATGAGAACAGGTACTAGATTAGAATGTGGTCCGACCGTCCGGCTAAGGATTATAAAATTTTTATATGACACTCACACACACACACATATCCGCACACACATTTTGCAATAAAATTTTCGCAACTACCTAGGCCATCGAATTAGTCCCTCTTCCGTATAAAATGTGCTGCGGATTTTGAACTTAGCATCAGTTCTCGACAAC